AGTTGGACCGGGTGATGGCCATTTTTTTTTTTTTTTTGTTTATATAATGTGTGCACACCCAGGTGTTGGATCCGGGTGTGCACACATCATTTTCCACTCAATGATACATTACATTTATTTAATGCATTGTGACTATAGCATTTCCTATAAGTTGAGTCCTTAAAGGTAAATTAATATCTATAATAATAACTCTATGAATAAAGTAGTAATTATGAAAATTCACAAAGTAGGTGGATGCATATTAGAAAAGGATGGAAATACAAGTTGCAAAAGGAAAATTTTCTGTTTTTTATATTGAGAATTTAACCATAAATTAGTTTCCCCTTGGCCTCGTTTTCCTCTATGCACCAAAGCATTTCTCCCTTCATTGGTGAGATCACGTTCCAATTGGTTTAGCAAACAATTGTTTCCTTACTTCAGAATCAAGAAAAGCTGAGAGATGGGCACTAACCTTTCTTCTTGGGGTATTATCCTCTCTATCCTTCTCCTTCTAATGGTAATAGTCTATACTTTCTGCAACTTTTTCTCATGTTTGTCTCTTACCTATTGCTTGAATAGACGCTGGTTTTGAAACGTCGTTCTTTTTTTCTTGATTTCATAAAAGTGTGCTCAGGAGATGGAAGGTCGTAGCCTTAGATATGATCATCAGCAGCTGCAACAGCCTACCAGTAGTGCCCTGGATTGTCATCATTCAGCATCCCACAACGAACACATGGACCTATCAATGAACATTTTCTTCAGGGTAGATGACCTTAAGGCTGGGAAAACGATGCCAATATGGTTCTCCAGCGTAGACAAGACATCTGCCTCTCCTCTTCTCTCCAGAGAAGAAGCAGATTCAGTTCCTTTCTCCTCAAAACAACTTCCTTACCTTCTCGACCTTTTCTCCTTTCCAAAAGACTCCCCACAAGCCGAGGCAATGGAATATACACTCAGACAATGCGAACATGAACCCATGAAAGGTGAAACCAAGTCATGTCCTACATCCCTTGAATCCATGCTTGATTTTGCCCGATCTGTCTTTGGCTCCCATGTCCATTACAAGGTTTTAACCACAATTTTTGAGAAAGGAGCCCTTATTCCAGCACAAAACTATACAATTTCTCAGGAACCTCAAGCCATTCATGCTCAAAAAATCCTAGGATGTCACAAGATGCCTTATCCTTATGCAGTGTTCTATTGCCATTCACAGGAGAGTGACAACAGGCTGTATGAGGTTTCATTGGTGGGTGAGAATGGAAGCAAAGTCAAAGCCCCTGTAATGTGCCACATGGACACTTCTCACTGGGACCCTGATCACATCGCCTTTCGTTTGATCAAAGTCCAGCCTGGGAGATCACCTGTCTGTCATTTCTTCCCGGTAAATGATCTAACCTGGCTACCTGTACCCTGAATTGTATGTCTCATGTGACATACAATATCCTCATCCTGTTCAGTTGTATGAAAACAAGGTTATCTTAAGAAATGTCTTTTTCTAATAAAAAAAAATACACATAGAAGGAGTGAAATCTGAAATATTAGAAATTAGGGATGTAGCCAGAAGGGATGGGTGTTTTGCCCGAGGGTGTTGGACTAGTTGGAAAGTATGTTTGAATTTCCTTATTTGGACATGAATAATGTATCTTTGACTGAACTAGGGTGGTGGACATAATTATTTAGTATGAGGCACTTGTATGGACAAGCATTAGAAAAAAAAAAAAACAAAACAATCCTATTGTAAAGATTTGGTACCTAAGGGAGGTTATATATAATATCAAGATTACGTTGGAACCATTAATCCCGTTGAAGTGCGTTTTCCATGAATCTTCGGAAATACGTACTGCCTCTTTCTGATTGCTGCACTGAAACGCAAAGCAAAGATCAATTAAGACAATACCTGTTGAGAACTTCATAATTATTAGAATCATCAACCGTTTACAAATTGAAAGGGAAATCCTCACCCAAAATTGTTTGCTCATGGACTCATCGTCTCATTTCAACCAATTGGAGAAAGGTTACCGTTTTGGGAGGATCGAAAATTTGATGGTAGAAGCATAAAATCCAGCAATAGAAACTGGTTTACCCTAATTCCATTTTTTTTTTTTTTTGTTGACAAAAAAATTTTTCCTTTTGCATTGAGTCATTTTACAGATTTCTTGGCTCACAATCTAACTAAATGGGTTTACCTTGTCTAGGGCCGTAACCCGTAAATGAGCCTGAGCTGCCAAATCTTTAGTTAATTCGTTGTCAAGCTTCTTTTAGGCTCGATTTTATGAACTCAAGCTCGACTTTAGACATTCTTTTTATTTTTTATTTTATTTTATTTTTTTTGGTGTAGAAGTTTGGAAATACTATACTCAAAATGCTGACAGGTGTTCACAAACACTTATATATGTTTAACTTGTATAATCTAAATGACGAGGAATGCTACAAACACTCAGTGTAAAAAATTTATGCCATTTTACATTTAATTTGTGCAAAATAATTTTTTAAAAAAAATTTTAAAAATGAAAAACACGATTTGATCTGTTGAATGGCATAATTTGGTATAGCTTTTTTCTGAAGTTGCTTACAAACAATTTTCTATCTCTTAAATAGAACATATTTTGAAGAAAAACTAGGATTTTAAAGATGTATTACATTATATTTAATTTAGATTGAGAGAAATAAAATGATATTGTATATTTTCATTGCCCTCCATTCCCTTTTCTTGCCTTCCCTTTGCTTCCCTCCTCTTCTCTCCCCTCACTTGAATTAATAAATGAATTAAAAAAGATAAAGAAGAGAGCTTCCTTTCCCTTTCCTCCACCTAATTTTTCTAATAATAAGAAAAAATCTATTTATATATAAATTTTATATATTACAATCATATAAAATCTTAATTATTCATCTCTTTATTTTTAATGGTTAAAATTTATTACAAGTTTTTAGATAAAAACAATAATTATCTTTTATAAATATAAATAAATCTCAATAATTAAAAATAAAGAGATAAATGATTAATACTTTATATAACTATATATGATATATAAAATTTATATGTAAATAAATTTTTACTTTTTAACAATTAAATAGAGTAATTTTTTCCCTCCTCTATCATCTATTCCTCTTATTAGTATCCGATTGGTTCTCTTATAAAAAAGCACTATTTCTTTGTGAAATGGTTCTCTTATAAAAACGCATGCATTTGTAGGCACAAAATCACTATTCAATTGCATAAATTAAGCACCTGACATTATTACCACATAAATTAAGAAAGCACCTGACATCATTACTAGCTAGGTTTTAAATTCTGAACTTCCCCACAAAAGACATTTTGCATTAGTCAGGCGAGGACCAGACCTATCCCAGAGTGATAGCTTACCCACCACACAAAGGATTAAATCAATTGCAAAGTTAGGTGCTACTATCATCTCATGCCCTCAATATACCGGCATGTTTGGCTTGATGTCTTGTTCCTTCACCTCAACATGAAACTTGTGATCTTCATTACGTTCGCCATGAGCAACATGGTATATGATGAGGTTAGGGCTAACATCGAAATTCCTGATAAAACGATCCATTTTCATTTGAGTAGAATGATCATCTCCGTTAAGGGAAGATTGATCTTGACGAAAAAGTTCCTTGATTGATTCCGGCATTGGCTCGCCGTCCAGTATGCTTTCCCAGTACTATCTATGTCCCTTTCTTGCATGACTAAGCTCCAAAAACCATACCACATATAAAAACCATGTAAAAAATATAAATAATTCGAACCAAAAATGAAAATATAACTAGGGTTTCATAGGAATATTGAAGAAAAGACCTTACCACCAAGAGGATAAAGGAGAAGATGATAAAAATAGCAAAGGTCTTCGTGTTTTGATTTGCTTGATATTGAAACACAGTTTTGTAATTTGGCACTTGTGTAATCCTTTTGTCTGGTATGAGAGGATCAACCTTTGACTTACCATATATTTATAGGTCATGATAATTGTTAAGTGGCAAATTTCTCAATCAAAATAATAAACAAAAAACATGTGTCTATAAATAAAACACATCCTACTTTGGGCATTGTCAATTGATTTTAAATTAGATGCATGTATTGTATTTAAACCCACATGAATTTTCACAATAATTACTAAAAAAAAATGAAGCTTACGTATGGAATGAACTCCCTTAGTTAGCCTAAGTGGCTAAGTCATTAATATTCATATGCATGTTGTCTAAGATTCCTGGAATTGAAGAAAATTATACTAAGTTCAACTGCAACGTTGCAGGATCATGCTTCAACATTA